CCCCCCCGGGGGGGGGGCCCCCCCGGGGGGGGGGGGGGGCCCCCCCCGCCCCCCCCCCCGGGGGGGGGGGGCCCCCCCGGGGGGGGCCGGGGGCGGGCCCCCCCCCCCCCCCCCCCCCCCCCGGGGGGGGCGGGGGGGGGGGGGGGGGGGGGGGGGGGGGGGGGGGCCCCCCCCCGGGCCGGGGGGGGGGGGGCGGGGCGGGGCGGGGGGGGAGCGGAGCGGAGCGGAGCGGAGCGGGAGAGACGGAGAGAGGGAGCGGAAAGAAAGAGGGAGAGAGAAGCCTTGAACTTTTGGATGAGCGGCGCGGGCGTCGTCTCGAGCGGAGGCAGCACGTGCAGGAACAGGTGCGTCGAGGCGGTCGGCATGACGCGCTTGTCGAGGAAGGCGAGCTGCAGCTCGTCGAGCGCCTACAAGAGAGAGAGCCGGCATATCGCAAAGGCGGGAAGCCGTGGACGGCGCACCAGAGCTCGTTGAGCGCCTTGAGCAGCGCGCCCTCGGCCGCCTCGGGCGTGTCCATCGCGTCGGAGTGCGTGACTCCGCGTGCGAAGACGCGCTGCTGCACGCCGCGGCCGGCGCCCTGCGAGCCGAGAAGCACCACCGAGTTGTGCGAGATCGCGGGCAGCCGCACCGGGTTCCAGTTCTGCAGCCGGTCGAGCTCGAGCGCGTTGTAAAAGGTTGGGTACATGTTGCGCCGGTTGGGGTCCTCGGCGAAGCCGTTGGCCGCGGTGAACGAGAAGAGGCGCGGCCACTTTGGCGGGTTTGGCACCATGAGCGAGACGAGCCGCACGCCCTTGGCCTTAAGCACGCCTGCGCTGCTCTCGATGGCCGCCTGCGCGGTCGCGATGAGCGCCTCCTCGGCGCCGGCGCCGGTGCCGATTGGCGCGTTGAGGGCGATGTGCAGCACGTTGAGCGGCGACGAGGCGTCGGCCGGCTCGTAGTCGGAGAGGAGGGACGGGATCGCAGTGCTGAGCGAGGCGAGCTCGGGCACGAGCGCCAGCTGGCCGTACCTGGACGGACAGAGGTGCCGGCGGCGTGTCTGAGTGTCGGTTGTGGCTCGGGCACGAGGGGCGGGGCTGGCCGTCACTGGCGCGGGCGAGGGGAGAGGGGAGGGGAGAGGGGAGGCGAGAGGGGAGGGAGAGG